TGTTAGCGGCATGCATTCTAGTCTCTGAGTGTCCTCTGGGACCATATTGGTTTGGTTTTTGTCTTGTCTGGAGCTACCTGGATGCCAGCCCAAGTTTTGACTGCAGGTTCCAGAGTCTAAGAAAATGACTTCATTCTCACAGAAAAAGGAGCTCTGTCTGTCCAAAGAAGACCTTAGTTGTGACTGTGTGGTTGTCCACTCCCTGTACTCACATGTAGGGTCAACCTGTAGTGTTTCCCCTCTGTCCACTGCTGGGGCTGAAGTTACTTTGCTGACTGGATAGTGCAGACAACCAGAACCAGAGTGAGTCTGTCCTTGTCAGACGCAGATGCGAGGAGATGACGGTGACCATCATGGCCACTCGGGCCTGAGAGCCGAGGCAGGGCTGGCAGGAATGGCACTTATGTTCCAACCTGATCGTGTTGCAAGAAGAAAAAAATACGATTTGTGGAGCTTGGGTAGGGGTGGGTCGGTGGGGGGAGAAGAGTCTGCTTTGTGACCATGTTGGTCCTTGAGAGGTAGAGCTCTGTTTCTGAGCAGTTACAGGGAGACAATGCTAAAAATGATGTTTGCCTTGAAAGACACATCCGGACAGGAGTTTTCAGCAGTGTCTGAATGAACAATGTGGTACCAGTCTGTTTGCCAGGAACAAAACAATCACTGATACATCATTCAGACATCTGCTCTTGGCGTAACGTATTATCCAGTGCTCCTTTAGTAGTTTTGTTCTTCACGTGCCAGGGGTTGGCTTTCATATGCAAACCAGCCACTCCACTTGGGGGAAGGTGGAGGAGAACGGAGGTGCAGATAACAGAGGACCAGGCTCAGGTGAGCAAGCCTTTAGGTTGTCCTCACTCCTTTGAGCAGTGGGTAGCCTGTGGAGCATATTTCAATGCTACTGAGGCCTTTTAGTTATCTTCATAGTGATAAAACAGTGAACAGCTGAGGTTTTGTTACCAACTAGCTGTAGGTGACCACAGGAGCACTGTTACTCAGGTGTGGTCTGTGTTAGTGTGGCTTCTCCGTATCTCTAGGGACATGCACTAGGGCAGGTATGTCTCTCTGGGGGCGCCAACACTACATGTGCCTTAGGCCATCTTCATTCTTTGTCATGCATAAACCCCCAGAGGGCTAAAGTCATCTCATTGGCTTTGGCCCTGGTATAGCTGCATTTGGAACTCAGACAACATATTGAGGTGGAATGAGATGTAACTTCTGCTGCAGTTAACCCTCTGAGTGGTGGTGGTAACTGCCATTTCCCTCCTGAGGCAGAAGAGTGGAAAAGCCGCCATCTGAGCTCTACGCAGGGTATCACATGAAGACTGACTAAATGACTCCTATTTTCATTGTTAGCTATGTTTTGGGGGTTGCTGGTTTTATAGGGCCCATGGGAGTGCAGTGACGCTATGTGATAAGCACTGGACTTGCAGCCACAAAGTCTGCGATGACTCGAGCCCGCCAGCTGCTCCATAGGAGAAAGATGAGGCTGTCTGCTCCCACAAAGATTTAAAGCCTGGGAATCCCTCCTCAGGGTTACTATGGGTCGGAACTTAACAACTTAACAAATTGGTGATCAGGCATCTCCCTTCACCTCTCGTCCCGGGGCGCCCTGTGTTCATGCCCCCGGCCCCTTTTCTGGAGAACTTCTCAGGACCGGCCACCTTATTCACTGAAGTCATTAACCAGTATCCTGTTAGTCAACTTCTGGTATTTGTCTTTGAGCACTACCAAGACCAGATGGCTAGAGAAGGCAGCATTTTAGCACGACATGCTTCACAATAAAGCCTTAACTTCTGTCAAAAGTAAAAAAAAAAATAAAAGAAGGAAAAGCTCCGTTACACCATGTGTGCTAGAGTTAAGATGCCACTCACAGAGCAGTGTATGTCCCCATCTTCTCATTGTTGCTACATTTATCCCCAGTGAGAAGACAGCCTTTGCAGTAACTGTTAATTTCATCTCTCAGTCACTTAAGGTAGGTGGGGGCCTCTGACTCACAGGCACATAACCAGTTGCACCTGCTCCCAGATTTTCCGGGTGCATTTTGTCTCCTGAATTACTGTCCCAGAAGCAAGTTTTTCTCCATACTTAAAGCTAAAATAGTCTCCTTGCCCTCATCTGAATATGAGAGTAACTTTGTTGGAGTATTTATTTACGGTTTATATATGTTTTTAAATTCTCCAACCATCCTGGACCTCCTCTGTGTGTTCATTGATTCTGCAGGTGAGATTGGCCCTTTTGGGGGCAGAGTTGGAGGGAGAGGAGTGTCTACAATCGTATAAGAAACAGACACCCTCCTCCCCACTGGGAGGCCCAGACCCTTTCCAGGCTCCTCAGTGTGGCCGCTTTCCTTTGGGTCCATGGTCTTGTCTGGACTGTCTTCCCGTCTGCCGTGGAAATAGCAGCAGGCTAGGCTGGAGGCAGGAGTTGTGGGAGGCAGGACAGGCAGTGGCAGAGAAGAAAAAGAATCCTGACCAAGGTATGAGAGGCTCTGGATGGCCCAAAGTAGTCCCCTGCCGATGGAGGAGAGCGAGGTACAGAGCTTAAGAAACATCAGTAAGACTCAAGCCCAAACCACTGGACTGGGCTCCAGGTTCTCCTTGGTCTTCCTGCCTCAGCTCCTGGACCCCTGTGATCAGGTGGAATGCCCACCTGACTGGGGCGTGAGTTGGCAAGAGCAAAGATGTCAGCTTGAGGACTAAGGTGTGCCTGACCCAAGCCATGGTATTTTCAATAACCTCATTTGCATGCAAAAACTGAAAAGTGAATAAGGAAGACCATAAAAGAATTGATGCTTTTGAGTTATGGTGTTGGAGGAGAATATTGAAAGTGCCATGGGCTGCCCATAGAACCAACAGATCCGTGTTGGAAGAAGTGCAGCCAGATTGCTCCTTGGAGGCCAAGATGGCCAAACTTCATCTCTCACACTTCGAACATATTGACAGGAGGTACCAGTCGCTGGAGAAGGATATCATGTTTGGTAAGGTGGAGGGTCAGAGAAAAAGAGGAAGACCCCCCCAATGAGATGGATTGGAAAAATGACAGCATCAATGGACTCAAGCGTGGCAACAGTAGTGAGGTTGGCCCAGGATCAGGCAGGGTTTCGTTCTGCTGTGTGTAAGGTTGCTATGAGTTGGTACTGACTCGATGGCACCAACAACAAGTCCATATTTAAATCCCCTCATTGATAAAACAAAACCCTCCTTTTTATAAGAGGTAACATTCTATGACAACCTTCAAAGGTTGTTGTTGTTGTCAGGTGCCATCGAGTCGGAACCGACTCATATTGACCCCCCATGCACAGCAGAACGAAACAATGGCCGATCCTGGGCCAACCTCACTACCGCCGCCACACTCAATGCCATCAATGATGCCACCTGGCCGATCCATCTCGTTGGGGGTCTTCCTCTTTTTCTCTGACCCTCCATCTTACCCAGCATGACATCCTTTTCCAGCGACTGTTCCCTCCTGACAATGTGTCCAAAGTATGAGAGATGAAGCTTAGCCATCCTGGCCTCCAAGGAGCACTCTGGCTGCACTTCTTCCAAAACAGATCTATTGGTTCTTTTGGCAGTCCATGGCACTTTTAGCATTCTCCTCCAACACGACAATTCAAAGGTAGTACATGCTATTATAATTTATTAGAGTTTCAAAAGAAATGATTGTGTCTCAATTCATACAGCCACCAGGCAGTTTTGAATCTATTGATTCTAAAATGAAGCTGAAGATATTATATAACAATCAATGCTGCCTTTGTTAATCTTAGATCTAAAATCTAGCCTTTTGCTTCAGTCCCCTTCTAGGAGCAAGTAATGACTTTATTAAGTGTCTTTATAAAAGAAAATGTGTCCTTTATTTCTAGTAAAATAGTACTTTTGAAGAGCAAGCTAGTTAATGATTTTAAAAACAGCAACTGCTTAACATAATCAAGAAATAAAGCCATTTTGTATTTCTGCAAAGATAATCATAATCCATCAGCCTATCAGTTAATTAAAACAGGTCATTCATGGGAAAGAAATTACCTCCAATTAGGATAAAAATAATAATTTGGAATAAAAAGAATATTATTCTGACTTTAGTGAGGAATTAATACCATTAGTGCATCTTGAGGTTAAGCAAAGCTTTCATGAAGTAGTGGCCAAATGGATGGACGGGTTATTTACTGTAATTGCTTGAAAATACTCTTGTGTGTCAACGCTGGTTTTAGATTAATTTCCTGCCTCCTTTTAGATATGGCCATTTGTCTTCTGAGGGTCTATAAAAGTTATTAACATTTAACCACCCTCTTGAATGATCCCATTTTGATTGATAGGCCCTGAGATGATATGGTGCTCGGAGCCTGAAAAATCACAGCCTAGCCTATTGTAACCTGCTGGATGTAAGTAAGGGGAGTCGTGAGATAGCCCCTACTTGCATTTTAGCCCACTGGTCGGTGGTCATGCCAGATGGTGGGCATCCTAGTGAAATTCCACAACACAGAATGCCTCCATGATGTTGATCTCATTGACAAAAGTATCTTTTCTGGGAATAAGGTTTAAAATCAAGGTACAAAGAAAGAGTTGATCTCTGTGGATAATCCTGTAACTAGAGAGTTCATTCTTGTGTTTCCAGTTATCGGTGATTTTCATCCATAAAGACAGGGGTTTCAAACATTTTTTGTCACTATATCATGCCATGTTAAATTGGAACCATTTTCTGTGCTCCCCTCCCACCTGGATAATTTTAAGAAGACTTTGATTCTCACCTGTGTCTCTAAAGAAGGACCAGCTTGCAGTGACGTCTCCTCTTGTCTCTTCATATAACTGACAGGGAATCTGGAGACCTAACCCTGCCTCTCCCCTGGATCCAGCCATTTCCTTCTGCTGGGAGTCATATTTTACTTTTGATGTGATGCTTGCTTAGGCACTATAATAAAATAGAAATCGCCATATTATCATTGGTAGACTTGTGCTTTTTTGGGGAAAAACAAACAAAAACCTTTTGTTTTTTCACCATTTCTCCAGGACTCTGGATTGATTTGGAAATGTCCTACAATGGGTCCTTTCTGATGACTCTCGAGACCAAAATGAATTTGACCAAACTAGGTAAAGAGCCTCTTGTTGAAGCCCTGAAGGTTGGAGAAATTGGCAAAGAAGGGTAAGGGGCTATATGAATTTCCTAAACAAAATCCAACCCTGGGGAAGCAGCCTCCACCTCCCACCTCAGAGCAGCAGGATTGCTGTGTAGTGGCCCTGGATGTTGAGTGTGCCTCTATGGAAATGTTTCCAGACCCTGGAGTATTAACGGGGAATGACTTCCTCACTTCATCCCCAGTGGACAGACAGCCCCTGTCACCCAGGGCAGCAGCAGATGGACCACAGGCCCTCATCTGTGCTCAGCTGTGGCAGCACCTCTTGACGTTAGTGCTGGCCATGGTACCCACAGTATCGATTACCCAGAAAGCACCACCCACTCAGACAAGCAGCTGAGGCTCATCAGAGCAGTAATGCTCCGTGAATAGAATCATCCTCACTAAAGAAAGTCCCCTCTTCAACTTTCAGCTGCAGACGGCAGTGTGTGCACCAGACTCAGGTCCCTGGGGATCTGTTGGCTTTAATCATAAAGTCAGAAATACTTATGATTAGATGATCGATTTTGTAGCCAAGCGGGTGCTCCTAAAGTGTTTGGGGAAGCATTTTTCCTAAATAATGTGGTATTGATTTGCTGAGCAAATATCTCTTTGTAGACAGCGCCTCTACTGCAGTTTTTCTGATCTAGTGAGAGTTTCACATTTATGAGATAATTAATGAAGCTTCCTTTTTCTTCCCTGAGTGCCTAGCAGAGCAAGATAGCACTTTTACCTCCCCATGCACCCTAAAAATGAGTCCTTTGAACTTCATATTTACATAAATATGATGGGTTTTACCAACTCTAAAATGCTGATTTAAGTCTGCTTCCCACATCTTTGTTTTGCATGAAATTCACAGGAAAACACTGCCAAGAGCTGCCCTGTCTAGGTCTAGACAGAAGACACACACACACACACACACACACACAGTTTCCTCTGAATGATGATGCAGACCTAAGGCTTTTATTCATCCCTGCAGTCAAACTGACTAGGGGAGTTGGGCCACACAGTTGAATGCCCTTTTACTTGGATTACTCTGATTTCTCCAGGTTACTTAATGAAATGTTCCTCTGTAAATAATGGGAAACTTGCACCTGCTGTATACAATCTAACCCTTGTCTGTGCTGTTTTCCTCTCATTTTTCTGCCATTTGTTAAAATGTGTTTGGAATCGGCAAACTGTGGATTTATATTCTCTGGTGAGTGGTATTTATCAACTCTCTGTGTAGCATTTCATGCCCTGTGAGTGCTGAGTCTTGCTGGTGCCACGTGACACCACCAAGACATTTGTCCTTTCATTGTGCTCTTAGACGTAAAAGCACTATGCTATCCCTGGTGAGGATTTCGGAGACTCTCCTGGCCGGGGAATTCTTACACGTGGGAATTCTTACACGTGACTCCGGCCTCTACTCAGATGCAACTCCTTGTCACTGGGTGTTCCCATCCCAGCTCAAGCATGGCTGAGCATCACCACTCCAGCCTGATGGATTCAGAGCTGTAAAGCCGGCTGCCGAGAAAACGCAGCTCCTTAGATAGATGCAGTCACGGAATCTCTTGTTAATGAGGCCAAATGGGAACGGAGGAGCAGGCCAGAACATTCTTTACTCTGAGCCCTGTGCAGGGAGCCTTTCTAGATACAGCTCTGCCTGCACAGAGCTGCTGGGAATCAGAAAGGAAAGGTCTCAGACATCATGGCAGACCCTGGAGAGCTTTACCCCTTGGGCGGTCCACGTTCACTGTTACTGCTGTAGGCTCAGTTTCCTGTTCGTAAACTGGCTGCTGCTTTAGACCCAGCGTGAAAGGAAGGGCGTCTTGCTTTGCCTTTTTAGGGGATCAGAGGGAACCCCTTGTTTAACATTTCTCTGTTAAAAAAAAAAAAAGCCTCTATGCTAAGAAATTGTGATAGTATTGATTTTTATTTTTACTGTATTTCTAAAATACAGTTTTGCTTCTTGAAGTTTTGCTTCTTCCTATGAGGAGTCTTGATGTGGCACTGTTGAATAAGCACTAGACTGCTAATCACAAGGTCGGTGGTTCAAACCCACCAGCTGCTCCTCAGAAGCCCTATAGTGGGTCATGAAGATTGGGAACCAGTTTTACGGCACATAATAGCAATAACATGGAGCTCTGATAGTGTAGTGGTTACAAATTGGGGTGCTAACCTCAAGGCTGGTAGTTCAAAACTACCAGCTGTTCCGCGGGAGAAAGATGAGGCTTTCTGCTCTCATAAAGATTTGCCGCCTTGGAAACCCTGTGCAGGGTCGCTATGCGTCAGAACCGACTCCACGGCACATCACAACAACAATAGCAATAACAACCTGAGGGTGTTAAACTAGATGGTTGATGTGTCGAATTGTCCTTTCATTTTGATAACATGCAAAAGCACTCCATTTGGGAGATCAAGGACTTGGACAAATAGACCCTTAGTCTTTTGTTTTTTTGTACAAGAGAGCCTTTTGGTAACGTGAATGCTCTGGACGGACCCGTCTGCCAGGAAATACTCCTGTAGCCCACAGTTTCCAGGAGCGTCAGATCCTCTGAAGCCTATCCATGCTAAGATCCAAACCCCAGAGATGATTCTAGAATCCACTTCGTCCCGTCCTCATTCATGAGCACGTGGAATCACCCTGATGCCGAATTTGGCTTCAGGGTGATAAATCTTAGCCATATTAAGTGACCCTTTGGCGCTGATATTTTCCTGATGTTAAACCTCACCAAAGAGCATGGTGTCTTGAGAGTTGGGGCCTAGCAGCTCTCCTTTCCTGCCCGTGGCTAGCTGTAGGGCCTCACTCCCCAGTCAGGGTTGCCCGTCTCCTGCTTTGTTTTCTTCAGTCCCCCTTCAAGTACCAGGGATTGTGCTCATGTGGAGCCTCTGAGGAGACGCTGCTCCACCAGTGAAAAGTCCTAGGACTGGTGGGAAGTTGGTTCACGTTGCTCATAAACTTAAGGCCTGACTGAGAGGTTTCAGATCTAGGTTGTTTTCAGTACAGTGGCATCCTTTCCTTTTGAAATATGTGTACAATTGATATATGTGGATATTTTTCCTTAAGTCCTTTTCCCAAATGGTTTTCTTGTTACCTACTGTAGTAATGCATCTTGGACAGTAAGACACTAAAGTGGTATTCAGGATAGTGAGCAGTCTTAACCATGGGAATTGGCATGAAAAGGACCAAAAAATAAGTCAGTAAGGGAAACATTCCGCTGATTGGGTGCTCTTTAATGAAACGCCCTGGAGTGAGGCGTTTTCTTATGAGGAGACCCATGGCCTGTTCATGTTCCACCACCTTAGCCTGGGCCAGCTGTCCAACTCCCTTGGTGTGGCACTGTTGAACAAGCACTAGATGAGATGACCCCCTCTGACCTGTGTTTTGGGGTGCAGGCATGAGTCTACCCAAATCCTCTCTATCCCCACCCCTACCCCACCCCCTGGCTCTGCAGCCCAGGGGCCAAGTGTCTTCAGGTGATGCTGTGAGCCAGTCTAGACCTGTGGGTGCATGTATACCTATGTCTGTGACAGGTGTGTGGGACACATCTTTCACATGAGTGGGGTCCCCTCAAGGCAAGCACCTCAAGGGCTGTTGAGTTATGCAGCTTTCCCCTGAAGAATTTTTGGGGTGTCATTTTAGAATTGCCTTCACAGCCTTTTCTGTTTTCTGTTTGTTTTTTAAACTATCTTGAGTCACTACAAATCATCCTGCTTCGTAGATGGGATGGGATTTTGAGCAATTTCTAGAAATCTGTCAGAGATAATAGTGATTATGAGGCCAGAAAATAAAATGTTTGATCCAAGACAGAGATGAATGATAGAGTGATGAAATAATTTACTCTCTCTTACGTGTGTGACTCCAAACACGTTTCCAGAAAGGTTTCTAGCAGAGGCCGTGTAGCTGGGATCAGCCCTCTAAGGTGGCGTCTTGACGGGCTGCCACTCTCCTCTGGAACTCTCAGGTGAATTGGAACCATTAGGCTCATCACATGATCACGCAGCTTATGTAAGGTGGCTTCAAAGGGTTCATGGGAAATCCAATGAGAAGAGAATGGAATTTTCCCATGAACTTTTTGAAGCCCCCTCATCATATATGGATGTGTGGTGTGTTGTCTTTTTCTGAAGCTTGTGCTGATGTCGTAAGGTTGAGGCCCTGAAACGGTGTGTCCTGCTTATAAAACTGAGCATCAGCCAAACGCTGAGCTGTCCATCTATAAGTCTCAGGCGCCACATGAGACAGCCCCCAGCGCTGAGGGTAGAATGCCTTTTGGACAAAATCAGAATTTCACGTCATCTGATCTGCTTTAGCTGGTCTAGCGTGATCTAAATTATTAACTTCCAGCCATAAAAGTTACCCTGCAGAGGATTAATTCAGGAACCTGAGCGCTCATGGTACTGCAGGTGTCTAAGTGACGAGTGCCAGTGGGGAGCTGGTAGGTAACCCAGTGGATTTCCCTTTGCCCTGGATGTGGGGGAGGAGCAGGCGACCTGCCGTGTGCACGTAGCCTCTTCCTGGCATCACTGGAGCCGGGGGGAAGTAAAGATCTCAGATGAAGAAAGACCTGTTAGTCTGCCAGGAAAACCCTGTGGAATTCTGTTCTGCACCCATGGGGTCTGTCATGAGTCAAAAACAACTCCACAACAATTGCTTTTGTGGTTTTTATGTACATTTTAAATAAAAGATCTCTTTTCTCTGAGAGTCGCTTGAAGCCCTAAAAGCTCTGAAATGACTTTGTGAGCAGGAATGAAAGCAGGTGTTTCCCGCACCAGCCAGGCCTGTGGAAGAGAAGGGACAAGAGGTTTTGGTTCCTGCTGAGCGAGTTCCCCTTTAATGCTCAACTCAAACCTGTTGGCCAGAGGCAGCGTTGAGGAGGATCTGCATGTCCTGTAGGAAGGGCACCGTGAGGTCCTCTTACAGCCGGGCTCCTGTTTCAGAAGGTTTCAGTCCCACCCCACTGCACTCTGCCCAGTCCGCATTGGCATATGGGCCCCGCTCTCAGGTGTCCTCGGCCCCTGTTGGCCAGTAGAAGACTTACCCATGGGCCCCAGGTGTCCCAAGGGCGTGTCAGAAAGCCAAAGGCTCGCAGCTGGGGGAGCTGGGACCTGAGCCCCACAAGCTTGATCTGTCCTTGTCACAAGGCCTCTGTTTGGTGTGACCCGAGTTACTTAGCAATGTTCAGAAACAACTGTCTTTCCTTCATTTCACCCCAGTTAAGTGTCTGGGCCTCAGAGGTCGGCTTGCAGAGCCCTCTCCAAAGCTGTACTAGAGGATGGAGCTGCCTTTTGTGTGGCCAAAACTCTACTAAGAGGCCCCCAGCAGCCCTCAGGCGGACTCCCAGAACACTCCCTTCAGCTGTTGACTGGCAGTCCCCATGCCAGTGCAGACCAAGTGTCCAGTGTGGAAGGACCCATGAGACCCGGCTCTCTGATGAAGGCTGTTAGTATTGCTATTTCAGTAAAGGAATCCTGGGGTGGTGCTGAACGATAAGCACTGAACCACAAGGTGGTGGTTCAAACCTACCAGTCGCTTCTCAGAAACCCTATACAGGGCTGCCATGAGTGGGAACTGACTCAACAGCACTTAACCAATAACAACAACTTTAGTCAAAAGATGGCCTTCAAAATTTTACTTCTCAGAAGGTTCCTGGGTTCCTATGTCAGTTGCTTCCGTGAGTCTCGGTCCCATTTGACTTTTTCTGTGCCCCTCAGATGTGGAGTAGGTGTGAATTCTTGATAGGAAGGAGTCTAGAGTCAGCATTGTTGTTGAACTCAGCCGGAGTCAAGGACTTGCCTGACAATGCCCATCACCTCACCCCCTCAGCCATCCTTCTCTCCATTCCCCCCACCCCTGTACTGTTGATGACATCACTGCATTTTGTGTGGACCAATCATGCTCCCACCACCTGTCCTGACGCATGCGGAAAGTGAACCCTTCCAGGCCCAGGGGACTTGACACTCAAGAGTCTCCCAAATAACCGTGCCACTCATGGATTGGGCCTCTTCCCTTCTGGGTGGGTTGGAGAGAGTGGTCCAGAGTGTGGCAAGTGTTTTCATCTTGGGTGCGTCCCGGTGGTTACCATGGTAGTGATTCTCCCTCTGTTCAGTTGCAGGCCCAGGGCGTACTGTCTGGCCGACAGTGATGAGGAATCTTCCAGCGCGGGCTCCTCCGAGGAAGACGATGCCCCAGAGCCCAGTGGAGGAGACAAACCACTCCTCCCTGGGGGAGAAGGGTGAGTGGGCCAGAAACAGGGCTTCCCAGGAGGCCAGGGCAGTAAGTCGGAGTGTGCCTTCTTTCTTCCTCTAGGATTGTCCTTCTCCCTTCACACTGAGTGCAATTGTTTTGTGTTAATTTCCAACGTCAGCAGGTTATAGCCAAAGCATAAAGACTTGTATAGCTTTCCTTACTTAATATTTAGGAAGGTCCTGGCCAAAACAGCTTTCTCCTTCGCTTTGAGTAAATAATAAAGAGAAGGAAAGGAAGGGAGATGTAACTATGAGCACATCCGGGTCTTCTTAGGAACACGGTTTACCCAACACCTCCCCCTGGTGCCCGGCAGGTGGCATTACTTATGTTGAACTGCCAGCGCCTACGAAGCCAAGCCATTCAGATGGTACCTTTTGTGAATTTTAAAAACCCAGTTGACTTAGTTGATGTTTTGAGTCATGAACTTCATTTTGGGGGCTCCCTTTGCCTGTAACTTAGACTGTGGCATGACCAGAGCGTTTAAACAGCCTCTGTGCCAATCTTTTAATTATTTAAAGTGAGTCTGATGATAAAGACGCTGGGTGATTGAGGAGCATTTGTGAGAAAATTTCATCAGCATGTTCACTTTTGAAATCTTACGGAAGATGAAGAGGAGGGAATTGAGATGCTTGAGTTTGCGAAAGTTGCATTACTTAAAATCTTCCTACCTGCTTGACCTTCAGAATGATTGCTTTTCTGAGTGTTGTAGAGAAAGGGGTTAGAAGCCTTCTCTGTGTACATCTGAGGACTTTGTCTTAACTCTCCATCATCAAGACTCAGCTCTGTCTGACACTTACACCTTTTACAAAGACAGTGGTTCTCAACTGGGGATGGTCTTGTGTGCCGTGTCCCGTCCCCCCACTCCTCCCTCTGCCCCAAACCTGGAAGACTGTTCAGCAATGTCTGAAGTCATGCTTGACTGTCATGTCTGCTGGATTCCATTGGCATGTAGTAGGTTGAGTCAGAATTGCTGCTAAATACCCTCTAATGCACAGGACAGCCCCACAACAAAGAACCATTCAGTCTACGATGTCATTAGTACTTTGGTTGACAAATACTGGTCTAGAGTAAGGAGAATGAAAAGCCACTAGGTTTTTGTTTGAGAAGGAGCAAAATTTATACTGATAAACTCTATGTTCCTCATCTGAAGGTATGTTGGAGGCCATCGAACAAGTAAGATTATGAGATTTGTAGATAAAATCACCAAGTCAAAATATTTCCAAAAAGCAACAGAGACGGAGTTCATCAAAAAAAAGATTGAAGAAGTTTCCAACACACCCCTGCTGCTAACTGTTGAAGTACAAGAATGTAGAGGAACCTTGGCCGTGAACATTCCACCACCTCCGACTGACCGGATCTGGTACGTAGAGGGGTCCTCGGTGACGGTGCGTGGCTCCCCTGGTCCCAACCGGCTTAACCTTAAGGTTATGGAGAGTCCCTTCTCTTTGGCAAAAGTATTTTTCAAACATTTTAATGAAACCTAAATGTTAGTTATAAATCTGATTCTATTTTCTTCCATGGTAGCTAATCCACATTTAAAGATTCATCTTAACACGTTAGGGAAGGTTGGGTCAGTATGGGAATTTTGTGGGGACAACGCTGCCACCAGTACTGACGGCTGTCATTGGAAGGACCCTCGTTCTCTGCCTGGGCTGGCCTATAACTTCATCACCTCAGCCAGGCCTCATGGCATTGCTAAGGTAGTTGACATTATTCTCCCCTCTTCACAAGTGTTGGTCACACATCCGGGTTTGGGGAGGACTGCCCTGAGTGAGGGCTGGATGTTGAGGAGCCCGGAGCATATCCATTTGGTAATAATGGCAGGAGGTCTAGCCAGGGAGCGGCCATCTGGTGGACTGGTGATTCTCGGCCCCATTTGCACATTGAATCACCTGGGACTAGTTAAACATCAGATATGCCTGGTTCATCCTCCAGGAGTTAGGGATGGGGGAACTAAGTCATCACTGAAAGCTACTATCATGGGCCCAACAGTGAATTTGATTTTAAAGTTGGTGTCGTCGTGGTACAGTGGCTGAGAGTGCACACGGTGACGGTGAATTTGAATTTAAAGTTGGTGTCAACGTAGTAGTGGTTGACAGTGCACATGGTGATGGTGAGTTTGATTTTAAAGTTGGTGTCGTCGTGGTACAGTGGCTGAGAGTGCACACGGGACGATGAATTTGAATTTAAAGTTGGTGTCGTCGTGGTACAGTGGTTGAGAGTGCACACGGTGACGGTGAATTTGAATTTAAAGTTGGTGTCGTCATGGTACAGTGGCTGAGAGTGCACATGGTGACGATGAATTTGAATTTAAAGTTGGTGTCGTC